ACTGCTACTGCTACTGCTACTGTTACTGCTACTGCTACTGCTACTGCTACTACAACTGCTACTGCTACTGCTACTGCTACGACTACTGCTACGACTACTACTACGACGACGACGACGAGTTCTACTCTCATTCTACATCTACTACGAACTACGACGTCGACGCATGTTCATTGCCGACAGCTGTGTCATGTGTCTCAATAGAGTATGGTTTGCTGCCTGTCTTTCTTCGCTCTCTCGCTTCTTCAGTGGTGTGCGTCACCTTTGAAGCATGTGCTTATTATTGGTTCGTTACATGTAGCTAGCTACAGGTTGTAGTTTTGATACACATGCACACGTACATGCATATCCCAGTGCAGGGGGCCACCAGGAATGAACTGAGCCAGCGATCGCTTTGTAGATCAGAGTTCTGCTGCCTAGGGCGCCAAGCCATGACTGAATCGAGCACCTGTGGCAGCAGGGCCGAGTTCCTGTTTTGGAGGCCCAAAACCACCGCTTTCGTTTTCGCTCGGGCTATCAGCCCCTCCAACGTGCTATTGGAGAGCTTCAGAGCATAGGGGACTGCAATCAGCATGGATGCCATGTAAAAGTTTTGCCCCTTAACACAACGGGGACCAGAGGGTTTGGCCGGGGCTCCATCCTTGGAACGTTGAAATTATTTTGGGAAAGGCGCATGGCCTTGTGTCTTACAGGTTCTTTCATGTACTCATGGCGTTCAACAACGAGGTCCTCAAGAGCGGTGCTATTATCACAAAGGTGTTGCTTTCATGACTTCGGAATATATAGTGTGAGGCATGGATGCACGCACGGCTAAGAGCCGTTCGAAGATCAAGCAATCAGCAGAAGCGAATAGATAGCCGGACCTAAAGCCCGAAACCTAAACTCCATATAGAGGGAAAAAAACCTTAAACCCTCTAAACCCAGTTTTTGGTAAGAACACCCGAGGTGTGGTGCCAAAGCCGACGCTCCAACTGTGAAGCCGTCGGGCCCGAGGGTCTTAGAGCAGTGCCTTTGGGCCGACTTCCCAAGCCCGGATGCGAAAAAGGTTGTGTACTACCGGGTTGCGAGGAGGGTTGCGAGAAGGGTACTAGAAGGATACTGTAGGGTTTATGGTTTGGGGTTTACAGCTTTCGTGGGCGGCCGCTGACACTCGGAGCCCATTTGCAAGAGGGTGTCGGAACACTGAACCCCTAAACCTTACACCCGGCTCTGAGTGCGAGAGCCGAAACCCGGCTTTCGTGATGCAGAGAACTGCGCCAGTGAAAACGCCGAAGAACTGCGAGCCAACAAGGTAATGCTGGAATCCGCAAACTGGCGTTTCTAGTTGTGTTTAGGAGATCAGATGCCAGATATCTGCTGGATCCTAACCTAAGGCTAGAAACTGAAAATATAGGAGCGATCAAAGCTGCTTCCTCCCTGCAACATCCGCACTGGGTTTTGCGATCAGATCAGCCGCAGAATCCTGCGCAAAGACCCGCAGTGTTGACCTTCACAAGCTCAAGGGTACAACGGGTTGTACGCAGCCACACGAAGGGTTGACCGAAGACATGCCCGGGCTCGAAGGGTGGAGAGGAGCCAGACACCCCCATGATCCGATGCGAATGTAAGGGTCAGACTTGATTTGTGGAGTGCGCGGGGGCGCTTAATGATTTGGCGCAAGCGTTAGTAGAGATGGAACGGATACGCCTCAGGTGTTCGAACGGTCAGCGACGTGAGCAAGCAGGTTGTTCTTAAATGAAGCGTAAAGCCTGTCAGCTTGTGTTACCGATGGTTCTGGCCTTGTCATCACGACAGCGGGATGAACTATCAACTAGCTAGTATTTCAACAGGAAAGCTTACTTCGATACAGCTTTGATTGCTGTGTGCTGACCATGGTAGAGGAGCCGCAGGCGGGAAATTTGCAAGTGTGTCAGCTGTTCTCACGGGAGATGGAGCAATGAGCTTTGGTAGGGTCGGGTAGAAGTATTTGAGATTATTTTCAGAATTCAGGGTTGTGAGCCCTCATGGCAGCGTCATCTTCTCCTTCGTGCCCACTGCATCATCAGTGTCATTGCCATCATCATCACCTTCATCATGAACCTGTAGCTGTCGTCATCGTGATGATGGTCAGCCGCATAATCCACAGTCGCCAGTTCGCCGCCACCGTCACAGACGCCTTGCAATCACAATCACAATCGGCATTGTCGTTACTACATACTTGTCGCCACCATCTTCCAAACAAATCATGCCGTGACCGTCGCCTTTGTTGCCAGTGGTGGTCGTTTGCAGACCTGTTGACAATTCTGATCCCGCACCTCGGCATAACTATAGTGACGAACAAGGCTCATCTGATATCAGTGGCATGATGTGACTCTTGCGCCGGTGATGACGGCAATCTGGCTTATCACGTTTGCCTACCGGTTAGAAGTCGATCAGGTGGAGCACCATGCAGTATGTGGGGATCCTGAGTCCGGCGAAGGCTGCCAGCTCCACACCTTCCAGTACTGTCTAGCAGTGGTTGCAATTTTGCGAAGCCTTTAGCAGCTCAAGTCCGAACATGGCTGGAATTTCTTTTCGTGGAAGGTCGCTTAAGATGCAACAATGGTCTCAGGCGTCTAGTTCTCTCCTTGTATGTAAAACCGAGAAAACCTCAACTTCGCATGATCCCTCGTGAGAGAAGCATCCTGGCAGCAGCATACTCAAGCCTACCCGAATTTTTTGACAGATTTCGAGCACCCTCCGTGCCTGCCGTGTGCGAGTCGTAAAGCGTCGAAACGCGAGGGCCGCTGAAGGCCGCAAAAGATCTGTAACCTCTCGGAAGGATGTAGTACTCGGAGGTTCATGGGTACCAGTAGTTATAAGTGAGGTTATAAGTAGGGTAACTGTAATTATAACCCATATTAGGGGACTTATAACTCCATTTATAACTACCCATGAACCTCCAAGTAACCAAGGCCTGGTGCAACCCCTCAAGGCATTATAAAAAATTTCAACTTGCTTAGAGTGGGTTTAGGTGAATTTGGGTGGGTCCAGGCTGACGCCCCGGTTTAAGCCGAGCGGGGTGGTTGGACTCATGGCGAGCGTGTGCCAAGAACCCGGAAACCCTTCCTCTGACTGGATGACATGGTGGGCCGTACGTCCCATGGTCAGCATGCATCCCCCAGCTCAATAGCTGGAAAGGTACACCATCAAAGCGACTACCATTGCTGATTCCAGGACCGATGAGCCCATTCAGTGCCGGCGCAGCCGCACTAAGGGCTGCCAAAGGCACGCGAGTCTTGCTGCGACAGACATAATTCAGAATGCAGTTCAGCAAGCAGTTGCTAGGCATGTTCATCTGTTGTTTGTTACATCGACCGCCACGACGACCGCATGACATCTCAGCTCTTTGCTTCCCATGCTTCCCTAACGATTTGTTCATGATTATTGAATGTTATAGGGTTCCTGTCCCAGATAATCTTCCCAGCTCCATCTGCGTGTGGTGCGCTCAGTCTCGCAAGGTTGAGAGAGCGGGGCTGTTGTTCTTAGTTTCGACTTGGGTGAATCCAGCTTACACGGGCTAAAGATGCGCATGTTGCATCTATCTTTGTAGTCTCCATGGTGACTTTGCAGTTGCCTTGCGCCTCCAACTGGCCACTCATTACAACTATATCTTTGGTCTTCACAGCAACGCGACGTTGTTGGGACACGTATCATGTGAATTCCAGCTTCAGTAGAATCAAACTGTTGCTGCACTCTGGCAGTGCCACCCCTACTCAAAAAGCCTAACACATTCAACACTTAACGGAGTGGGTTACGACGAAGAGTACAGCTGAATAACGACATGACGACTTGCTTCTTCCCGGCATGATCGACTCGAGTCCGTGTGAGAGAGAGAGAGAGAGTACAGCTTTTGGTCATGCTCTCAATAGATGCGTGCTTCGGAGTACGAGGATTGCTGACATGTCCGAGGTGTGAGTTTCGATAAAAGACCCAGGGCCTATGTCGCAGATCTGCAAACATTTTTGTTGATAGCAGCAGGTTGGATGTATTCGCGCACGTGGTATGCGCTCATCCCCCAAACCGTGAACCCAACACCCGATTCCGCCCCGGGTAGGTTGGACTAGGTAGGTAACCAGGCGGTAGATTGATGGGTGTAGATAGGTAGATAGGTAGACAGATACATGCATAGATCGGCAGTACATAGATCGATAGAAAGTTAGTTGGATAGAGAGGTAGATAGATCGATAGTTGTGTAACATGTAGATAGCTAGTTATGTAGATAGGTAGATCGGCAGACAGATAGAGACAAGGAGACAGCTTGGTGGATGGATAGATATCTGGGTGGCTAGTTAGATCGATAGAAATTCAGACCGATAGATACATCGAGTCACAGGTTAACAGGTACATAAAAGGATAGAGATAGAGTGAGTTGCGATAGATGTGCACATGTGTGGTTATATCATATACCAGTATGCTACCGTATGTCTTTGTATGTGTATACGAGGATCGCCGGACAGACATTTAGCATGTAGGTTAGTGTTTAAGGGTTTAGGGTTTAGGGTGCAGGTGAAGAGAGGAAGAGCGCTCTGCAGCACTCAGGGCTCGTTCGCTCTAGACTATAGGTGGCTATAGAGTCATGTGCGGTTATCTGTCTATCTGTTTATCCGGCTGCTGCAGAGGTAGTGGTGGTGGTAGTAGTAGCAGTAGTAGTAGTAGTAGTACTGGTGGTAGTAGTAGTGGTAGTGGTAGTGGTAGTAGTAGTAGTAGTAGCAGCAGTAGTACAGTAGTAGTAGTAGTAGTAGTAGTAGGCCCACGTCCTTTATTTGACGCTGCATGTTTCTGCAGCTGGTGAAAATGGAGTCCTTCAGAATGTTTGGCCAGCGCAGTGATTTCAAGCTTTTTTGACATGTTCGCATGGGTACAAAAGCAAGAAAGGGGGGAGCGTAAACGCCTTTGGCTTCAGGCTGCCTGAGTTCAGCGTTCAAAGGCTTTTTGGGCTTGCACTGTTTTCTTTGGGGAGACATTGAGGGTGTACGACTTTTGGGCTTGCACTGTTTTTTTTGGGAAACGTTGAGGGTGTAGGACTTTTGGGCTATTCGCAGCCTAAACCCTAGAGCCTGAAGTCTAAATTCAAAACCCTAGACCGTAAACGTTCAAGGGTTTGGGGTTCGGGGGCCTTTAAGGGCTTGGGGTTTGGAGGCGTTTAAGGGTTTGGCCTGCATTGCTTCGGGATGTTCTTCCAATGTACGTAATTACCTCCCCCCCCCACCCCCCCAAACCCCTAAACCGCCAGGTCGAAAGCAGGAGAACGCCAAAACAAGCCACTGAACCCTAGTACATGTACTAGTAGCAGTCGCAGAAGCAGTAGCAACAGTAGTAGTAGTAGTAGTAGTAGTAGTAGTAGTAGTAGCTAGTAGAAGTAGTCGTCGTCGTAGTAATAGTGATTACGCTCCCCCAACTGTCGTGCAGATGTGGCAAAAGGCAGTGTAAAAGTAGTGAATCGCAACAAGAAACACAGCGTCAAATAAGGTACGTACGCCTAGTAGTAGTAGTAGTAGTAGTAGTAGTAGTAGTAGTAGTAGTAGTCCCTAAAGCCTAAACCGCATCGTGTCCCCCGCCGACCTCTAGGCCCCGTGTGGCTTTCAAAACTTGACTGTTGTTCTTGTACACTGACGGCCCTCCGCTGACATCCTAACCGGTTTTCAGCGTGAAGCTGCATTCGATGCCGTCTGGAGTAGTCAGGGCGGAGGCGAGCGCACACCCAGCACAAGACGAGCAGGACGAGCACAGCTCAATACATGCCGAGTTTGTAGGTTTTACTTACTCTAAACCACTCTTCAGGCTCGTATCTTGCCCAAGTTCCAACTGCGAAACCAGCTACATTCAGTGCGACCGGGCGCACTGGTGCACGAAGAGATGTACAGGATGGAACCAACCTGGCAAACAAGCTCCAGGCTCTCAGCTCCTCCGAAGAGCCCGCACCCTGCTTGCACCAAAAGCTGTAGCTACCTGCGAAGGCGGCTTAGCCCAAGAATATACCCTTCCTAAAGCTCGTAGAAGGCCCTAGATTTCTGGAACCACCCATGCATTCCTACGCCTCGAAGTTATCATACTCCTTGGTGTGCTCGGAGCTTGGCAACCTCTGATTGTGATAGGTCCTGATAGGTGAGAATAGAGCCTTGAGGTTTGTCGGCTCGATATCTTTTCGCCCCCTGCAAGATCCCCTCCCACATAGCCCGAGTCGCAGGACCCACACGCAGGTCCTTTGCCTCCTCCGCCGCCAAATGGCCGGAGACTTCGCTAGCGATTTAGACCCAGGAGTTTAGGGTTTATGTCTTTGAATGTTGGGGTCTCATATGTATTGAGGCTTCCCCGCCTTCAAGGAGTAGGAATGGTTGCAGATGATCTGCATCTCGTTGGGCGGCAACTGCGCAACACACAAATGCACAATACCAGCGCACACGCGCAACCCTCCTATACCTTGCACCCCAGGCCACGTAGAATGTGGGAAATGCCCCCAGGGCCCCCGAGATCATGCAGTTATGTCAGATCTGCCGTGGTACTAGCATGCAGTTCCAGTAATTACACTTTCTTGGACCGCTACTGCGAGGTGTGGAGTGCGAGATGCTTCTCGACTCGCACAGGCCTTTGCGATTTTCTTGGTGTCCGGCTGACTCTGCAAATCGAGTCAGCGGCAGCAAACGGTGCAACCTCCCTCCCACCCTTAGCTGACTGCGACCTGAGACTTCATGCGTCACATCTTTGGAGACCGAGTGAGAGAGTGCAAACCCCCAAGTGCCCCGAAAGCAGAAAAATCAATCGCCTCGACCCTATACCCTATATAGACGCTAAAGTCCGACCCCCCTTAACACCGACACTGATTGAAGCCTTGCATGTAGAATCCCGAAAGACCCCATACGTAAGTCTCTGTGTCCTTTCTGATAGGCAGCTCGCCCCAGAGCCGCCTGCGGAGCCCGTTGCGCCTACATCACCGCTTCCACCTCAGGCATCCGGACCTGGGTATGACGTAGACACATTTAGGATTTAGGGTTTAGGGTACACACACACAGAGACACCAATGACATCACTGGGGCTAGTTTATTGACTCGCAATGCTGCGTATACACAGATGTGCCCAACATAGGACTTCGTCTAATCTCAGTTCTAATCTAGACCCATTGTTCGAAAGGGCCTGGGCACCTCTGGGTGCTTTTGGAGTGCAGTGTTCTTAAATCCAGTCGGAGTGATCATAGAAGGGCTCTGGGTTTGTGCTTCAGGCTCCAGTCATCCGAACCGAGAAAACCCTTAGACCTGAAGTATAGGGGCCTTGATAGACCGAACTTTGGTTTTGAGGTGTGATCGGACAAGAAGTCGGTTCGGGCCAGCGGAACCAGAGGGCTTGTGCCTCATCTGTGGTTTCGGTTTTGAGGTAGATTGTAGGTTTATGGTATGAGTGCATGGGGACTACAAGGGGGCCGTCCTAAAGCCCTCCGGCCCGAGGGCTGGCGTCGATGGCTTTTGGAAACACCCGAATGCTTCTAGCTTTAAAGGCTCCCCGGGGCTCCACTTACCTAGCCATGGAGTTACTAAACCCCCATGCGAGAGGGAAAAAACCTACCCAAGCCCTAAACCCTAAACCCCCTAACCCTCACGTCCTTGCTAAGCAGGCAAAAAAAAAAACCTAAACCGTAAGTAGGAGGGAAAAAACCCTGAGCCCTGAACCCACTGGAGCCCTTCATAGTGACTTTCCACCCTAAACCCTAAACCCTAAACCCCTAAACCCTAAACCCTTTTTGCCACGGCGACCCGCGAGGGCCCACCTCCGGCTTCGCCTTTGCGCAGGCTGCCTGAGGCCGTAGCATCCATTGTGATCACCCTTAAGGTAACCCCCTACAAAAAGCCGCTTTGTAGTAGCCCATTATGGTATAACCCTTTTAGAACCCATTACTGTAGCCCTTAGTTCGAAACCCTGAGCAGCCCGCCTCGCCTTGCATCCCTACTCTAACCGCTAAGCCTTTAAACTCTGGCAAAGCCTTGCCCTGTCGAGTTTCAGGTTCGGGAGCTTAGGTTTTTGGGGGGGCTTATGCTCATCTTTGATGTTTTGGGCGAAAGTTGAAAGGATTGCTTCAGGTTTAGAGTAAAGGGTTTAGTTTAGGGTTTAGGTTTGTTGCTTTCCGGGGGAAGGTCCGTTCCGGTGTGAGGGTTTGGTTTTGTCGGCTTTGGGCTCCGGTAGTTCAGGAGGTCCATAGGGTATGAACCATAGCATTAACTAGCATTACTCGAGCAAGCAGGCCAGTTGCTAGATGCCTTTTCTCCTGACTTGTCTCGCTGATACTGGCAAAGCAAAGAGGAAATCGCCGTATGCGGGTTCACGGGCGAATATTTAGCAAGTTGGCATACACGTCCTTTTGTGGTTGTAGTTACATGTACTTAAGCAAGTATACCGTATACCTACATGTCTCCGTGGGTGTTTAAGCAGAGACTTCGACGTCCCGTGCATCTTCGGGCTGGGTGGGCACTCACGAGTTTGCGTGGGATTGCTGGGGGTCGGGATCTTCGTTAGAAGCCATGTAGCACCCACTGCTCCACAGAGCCCTAACAAAGGGGCCTTATAATAATTACCTACGCTATTTTGGGGGCTCCTCTTCATAGCTATAGTATAATATACCCCAAAACCTTGTCCCAATTGGTACGGCTCCTACCTTAAGTCAGTGACAATTCGGGTCCCAGGAAGGCCAAGAACCCGAAATCCCAGAATTGTGCCTCCAGCGGTCTTGATGAAAGTCGCGAAGATGCCAATGCTAAGGCCCACAGAGTACCTCTACCCGACACTCGAAACTAAAGCTTCAAAGTCCTGCAACCCATCCACATTGCAGTGACTGCCAAGCCTATAACAACGCTAGTGATCATAATAGTAATAATAATGTTAGGAATAGTAGTGATAATGTAATATCAATACTAATAATAACGACGGAATATAGTAGTGGTAATAGTAGTAGTGATATTAGTAGTAGTAGTAGTAGTAGTAGTAGTAGTAGTAGTGATACTAATAATCTGCCGTTGCAAGCAGGAGACTTCCACTCAGCTGCCCCTTGGTCTCACATTCCGTGGTCTCAGCGCACCTCCGGTGTCCGGTTGGGTTTCCGGGAGGATTCTAAATAATAATTATTATTATTATTTGAATAAGTATTCTTAGTATTTACAGTATATCATTATGATTGAATCTGTTGTTTTTATAGTGGAATCTAAGGATTCCATGGGGTAAAGCTCGTCATCGCAGGCTCTCAGGGTTGACATGCAACCTCTGCGCGTTTGTGTTTTGTGCCCTGTGCGACAGCACTAATCAACAACAGCAGGCCAGGCGTGCTTTCAAATGTGGCATATGGGAGTTCAGAAATATGGATTCTAACAACATCATTCTCCTTTGTTCAAGGACCCCTACATAATGTACACTGAATGTTGTGAAACCCGTAGAAGCAGCATGACCGAAGCTCTTCGACCAGACTTGCGTAAACGTGACATACTCGAGCTCATCTTCGCGTGCTAGCCGGACTGCGGCATATTAGCATATTGGAAGTCCAGTCTGAAGGGTGGAGATTGAAATTAAGTGCGTTCGTTCTGAGACAATTGCAGAAGGCTCGATAGCCAGGTTGGCAATAATCAACATGAGCCGTGTGCTTCATCCTCCGTCCTGGTTGCGTACACCTGGGCATCAGAATGCTTATAGCCGTATGTGTATGTATGTGTGTATGTATGTATGTAAATATGTAGGTAGGTAATTATGCAGGTAAGTACACACACATATAGATATATATATATATATACACATTTATTCATTTATTTATATTTATATATTTATGTATTACTATACTGAGTATATTACCATATATTACCATAAGAAAGTACATATACAGATCTACATATACATTGGATGATGAAATCCTCCCACATTCAGAAAAGCCTTCCGTTGGCCGAGGCCAAAAGCAACAAGCTTGGGACCGCCCGCTTTCTCCTTTGGAAGTTGAGGGTTCCCTGAATCGAAACCGGATGTTTTGTAGGAGTTGAAGATCCCCTGTGCATTGCCGTGCCCGAAACATGGGCGAATTCCTGCAAAGTGCCCAAAACATGCGAGAATTCCTGCAAAGTGCCCGAAACATGGGAGAATTCCTGTTTTGCAGGGTGTGTTTGAGTTTTTTGTGTGAGTAGTGAGTTCCTTTTTCAGGCCCGAAGTGTCCTGGCCTTTCATGGTAATCTGGCACCCAGCTCGGGACCGTAATAACACCTGTTCGTAGTCATAATTGGGGATACTTTAAGAGTACTTGGGTGTCCAGCTTGCATTGATGGCCTTTTTGTTTTCGGGAGTGTGTGTGTGTGTGTGTGTGTGTCTGCGCGTGTTGACGGCTACCTGTGACACTTGCGCGGGTTTCAAGATTGTAATTTTTTGGGGGCGGCGGAGGCTCAAATAAGGTTACTAGGACACCTTTCTGGGTGTCAGGGTGACACTGGGGGCCTGTGTATATACATAGACACTCGTTCATTCGAATATACATACTTAGACATACACACAAACATACGCACATACATACATATACATACAGACATACATACATATATTCATATATTCATGTAGACATATTATATAAATATATATGTGTGTTCATGTCTCTGTGTGTGTGCGGTTTGCTCGCTAATGTGCTGGCCGAAACAGGACCGGAGTTCTGTGTGACGGCATCTCCGCATGGAGCTTATCAGACCATAGTCTGCTGAGGGCTGGGGTCGTGGAGGCTGCGAGCACATCGACAGGGCCGGAATCTTTGTTGCGTACCCTAAACCCCCGCATTGTCCGAGTGTGAGCGCCGAAACCCTAAACCCACAATTACGTCTGCTGGCTCTCGGATGCTGTATTCTAGCAGAGTCTTCTTGAGACCTCCTGCTGAAGGCCTTCTTCGCCTGCAGGGATTGTTTTTTCTGTGGTACGGTACATGAGGGCTTAAAAATCCAGGCGATCGCCATGTGTGTAAATCGCATATTAGCATATCCTATGACAGCCACATTTCGCAATGTATTCTAAATCCTCTAGTTTGCCGACCCTCTATTCACGGTTGAGCATTGAGCACACTCAGGACGCCAGGAGCTCTCTCAGCAGCGCGCAAGGAGCTGCACACCTGCGCCCTGAATGCAACGAAGGCAACATGCTTTTTGTGGCGCAAATTGAGGTTGGCCGGGTTTCTCCACTAATGTCAGTAGTCGTAGGTGTTGTCGTTCTCGGATCTGGGCGTGTTGTATACTAGAATCACAATAAGAGACCCCCAAAAATAGTATTGGTAATTATCTAGGTTTCTATAGTACCTGCTTGGAATCGGCGCTTTCCCGGGTAATGGTATGGACAGCCGGAGGTCATGGCTTGGAATTGGGTTCCCAAGCTTTCGGTTTCTACAAAGTGAAATCCTAAACCCCCCACGGGAAATGGGGTGTCCATGGTTTGGAATTGGATTAGTGTGGGCTCAGGACATAAGCGAGGGTGATTGGATCCCGCGGATTTGCGGGGGTGCGACAACAGTCGCAGCTGTTGCAAATTCTACCATTTTTACATGATTGCTTACTACTTCTTCATGTGTGCTCATCACTGTTGTTGCCATGCCGGTTTTCAGTGGCTCTCTTGGAATTTGCTGAGTGGTTATTCCGTTTGCAGAGAGTGTGCGTGTGTGTGTGTGTCATTTGGCATGTTCCCACGCAAAAGTATCTCATATGCTCGCGTGAGATCCAGTGATGGAGAGCCTTTGTAAGCCCGAGCCTGACCCTGAACTCCAAACCTCCTACAAGTCTCCTGAGGCAACTAAAAACCCTGAGCCACTGCTAGAGGGCGCCGATCTGAAACCTATACAAAGCTCCCACTCCTACGCCCCTTGCAAAGTTTAGGGCTCACGAGAAGCAAGGTCCCTTCTGCGGCCACGATGTCGACCCGGGCGCCAACTTTTGCTCGAATTGTGGCGCTTCGCTGGCACCCGGCTCCAGCAGAGGCGCCGCAGCCGAAGGTTGTCTTGAGTTTTTTGGGGGGATGGCAGCGAAGGGTTCAGGGCTGTGGAAAGTTTCAGGTTGTCGGGTCTTGGGGTGAGATTTGGGGCCCGGGGCTGTCTTGCCGTGCCGCAGGTCGTATTGCAAAATCCGATTTTCGTTCGCAGGGCTCCGCCTCGATAAATGAAATCGGCCGTATACGCGTGCCCTCAGATGCAAGGGCACATGGCTATCAGGTTGTTAGGATAGGGTTGCACAGAATCGGTTGCAGATACCCAGAATAATGCCAGAAGAGGCGAGCACGGCGAGACATTTCAGTTTGTTTTCAAACCGAGCATCATCAGAGAAATACTATTGGTTACTGTTACCATCGATGGACACCACGAGAGTGACAGTCAGACATAACAGCAGACACAGACGAAGAAACGCCGACGTGTATGATGTACATACACCTGCACGAGGGATACAGAAGACATACGTGTAGTCGCAGACATTCAGAGACAAGAGATATTCGCGAATATGAATGCCTGCAAAGGCCGAAAGGCAGGCAGACGGACAGATAGATAGGTAGACAGTCAGAAAGAAGGATAAGCAGACCGTCCCATCGATACACAGCTGGAGTCGGCTAGAGAGAGAACTGATAGGCACATAGACAGATGGATTAGGATACCTAGCCAGACATACACAAAAGCTAACCTACCTGCTACCTGCCTGCCTACCTGGCTAGCTAGCTGGATAGCTAGCCAGCTACCTACCTACATACATTCATATATTCATAATCATACATGCACAGTCGCATGCAAACGTGCACAACATACATAGAATGCATGCGTATGGTATATACGTATGTGCGTGCATACGTATGCACTTGTCTACGTGCATACATGCGTACTGACAGGTCGGTCGGTATACACGGATGTATATTACTACACTAACCTTCACTAAACATGTGCAAATACATAGACATATACGCAGATGCACATGAGCATGCACCAGATAGAACTCACATTCATATGTACAGACCTGACATACATTACACCAGCATAACTACAACATGATGCGTTATGCAGTGGACGGATCACATACACACACACACACAGACTCACTCACTCACTCATGCACGCACCACACACCGCACACATGCATGTATGAGTACATACTGTACATACCTTTGTACACATGCATGAATAGATACATGCATAAGTAACTGCACAGTCATTTACACAAAACACCCGTTCATGACATGAAACTTCATGGCGTTGTGCATCTGTTTTATGCACATGCAATGCTATGTATTCAATCGTACGGTTACCAAAAAGGTGAAGATAGCGATGGATAGGCCATGATAGGTCGTCATATAGACAGTATTGGCTACGGCTTTGACGGTTTAGACGTGCTAGAAGCCTGTGAAACAGGCAGGCCTTTTGGAGGTGTCTGCAACCACGATCGAAGTGGTTTGGGTTTTGTGCTCTCCGGGTCTGAACAACGCAGTGGCTGACCCCGAATCCGTTTTGTTCACCGAAGCATTGAAGCTTCGGTGGTAAAATTTCGGCCCTCCACCTGCAGCCATATCCCCAGGCAAGTTTCTGTCGGCCTCCCTGCCCGCCACGCCTTTGCCGCAAAGCTCGGCCACTTGGCCCAGACACGCTACATAAGAGGTGTGGATTTAAATCATTTGATGAATCTTCCTGTTTGTTGATGTGTTTGGTGGACAATGGCAGAGTGTAACCTTGGTTTGCACCTGCCGAGAGGTCGCAATTCGGGGTTCAAAGGCTTATACGGCTTCACCAACCTTTAGCCATTTTGGGGTATCATAAACCCTATATGATCCCTCGAGTCTAGAAGCCCTGTGGAAAGCCCGATGGTTCTAAATGTCACTGGAGCCACTGGGAAGCCATTCTGGAAGCCTTCTGCGAGAGGGGGTACTTCTAGCCATTCCAGCCTTCTAGATTCCGACACGTTGACGTTAACGACTCACGACTCGTGCCTTAAGCGTACTTCGGCCCGGTTTGCTTAGTTGTCCAGTACCACTCCAGTACCCTAGGGACTAACGGTTAAAAAGCCAAGAGTGAGAATATTCCTTGTGGGCCCGTATAATACAGCCCAGACTGTCAGTTTGCATGCTGCATGCTTTGGACTTCTCTCGCAACTCCATACCTCACAGTGTCGCATACTTGGACTGAAGCAAGGTTATGGTGTTGAGGACCATGTCGAACGCCTCCTTGCCTCAATCCATCCATGCGCCGTACCCTTTAACCCAAGGTCACAAAGTTCAGCCCGAACTCACAGCTGTCGGAGCCCATAAGCCCTACAGCGCCCTACAGTCACAGCTCCAGTGTCTGCCATGTGCCTGGCCTTCCTCGCGAGCTTGGCTGTATGACTTAAAATGGCGTCGCTTATTGCAGGAACATGGTCCTGGATCTCATCCTCTGCAGAAGTCATCTCCAAAGCTCGAGGGATGACAGCCGGAATCCACCGGTTGCTGCAGCCAGAGTTCGTGGATCTGAGCGACGCGGACCGGCGCAGGCTGCTAGGCCTGCAGAGACGAGTCCATGCCATGGTGCAGCCTCTCAACTTCCTGCTGCTCTGGTCCAAGCATCGCGACTATCGGGTACAGCAGGTGGTACTCGGTGCTCAAGAGTTGCTCTTTGATATTTATTCCTTTATTGAGTGCTTCGCCAGCGATGAAAGCCCCAGGAACAGTCAGACTGGACCGAAGCGTCGGGGCGGCAGCAGCAGCAGCCTGACAAAGTCAGAGCAATTGGATTTCTTTCTTCGTGAGTTGGACTTCACCTGCATGTCGGTGAACATGGCGATTTGCATGGAGGGAGCGACACCCTCAACAGGTTGTCTTGGCGATGTGTCTCCGCTTGCTCTGCTTCGTGCTCATCGGCGAATCAAGGAAATGCAGGGTCGCAGCGGCCATTTGTGCACTCTCACAGGTTGTCTCTACCAAGACCTGGATGGCGGTTTAGAGACAGACCGTGATGTTGCATGTCGAGCTGAAGAATGGCGGAATCACTGGACGCCGGCACTCTCTCTTGCCACTTTCAAGGTGGTCGCAAAGCTTGCTTCGGAGAGGAGGTACCACCTCGAGGTGGAGAGCCGACTGCCACTAAGTCAGGGTGATTTGCCGTTTGTGCCCCCTAGCGATGAGGAGACGGCTTTGGCTGTGGGTTTGAATTCTTTTACACGAATGGAGTTTCCAATTCGTACAGCCTGTCGTGCCACCCTTCTCACGACGGGTCATCTTCGCCTCGCTACGGCATCGCCCAGCGGTCCACAAGACACGCTCGTGGATTCCTTGGCCTTAGTTTGGGACCAAGAAGGCGACGACTTGGGGGAGCAGCGAGAGAGATCACAGCCAAAGAAGGGTCGACGATTTGCGTTTGTCTTCGATGGGCGAAGTTCTGGCGGCGATCGTGAGGCTTCAGGCATTGTGCCGGAGCTTGCTCTTACACCTTTGGATGCCATCTATCTGGCACGTCTTTGCGCTGTGGACGCTGATACTGAGTTTGCAGCTCTGCACAAAACATGCCGTGACCGGCGCGACGAATTCCGAGGTGTGAACAGTTCCGGCAGCATGACTGCGACAGGCCTGGACGTATCGGCTGCCAGACTCATACTGCGTGATGCAGTTTCACCGACACACGGCTCATAGGTGAGTGATGATTTCGCAGAGCCCTCAAGGCTTTCTGAAAGCAGAGAAAACGAACGGCCCGCCTCCCAGCAATCCAGCTAAGAACATGCTGCTTTGAGTAGTCGCCCGCAACAAGCATCAAACGTACTACTATGTAATACTTTCGTTGGCCCCACTGCAAGAGAATTCCTCACCCCAGGAGCGTTCAGGTTTAGGGCTTAGCTCCAAACCCTCAACCCCATCCAAGGCAGCCAAGGTTCGTTCAAAGTACGAATGGCAACTACACAAGAGTCAGAACTCGAAACCCTTGCAGTCGAAACAAAAAAGAGGTGGCAAACCCCAAAATCCTGTACATCCTGGTAGCCAAAAGTCCTAGCCTGTGGGCCCGAGGCGAAATCCGCGGCCTCAACTGGGATTGCAGAGTTGTCGGACCTTGGCACGAGGCTGTTTTTTTCAGAGCGTCCTTCTTGGAGGGTATCTAGTATCATGTGTACCCGCGGGAGCTTACGATTGTTGTGTTCGCAGCGAGGCAGACCGGTTGTATATCCAGCGCACGGAAGTGACATTGGCAGGACCTCGAATTATCAGTGCCAGCGCCACAGCGGAAGTCGCACTAGCAGCCACTAGCAGTAGGAAGTCTGGCAGGAAGTAACCGCAGTCTGTAGCAGTCGCACACTCGTCGACATGGGCATTTGTCGCAGTCGTATAGTCGTCGCCGTAGTAGTCGTAGTAGCCAACCTCTACTACTAGCAGTTTCAGTACCACTAGTACGACTAGCACTACCAGTATTACCGGCAAGGCGCTGGTACTCGTACTGGTGCTAGTAGTAGTAGTAGTAGTAGTAGTAGTAGTAGCAGCAGCAGTAGCAGCAGCAGTGAGTAGTGGTAGCAGTAGTGAGCAGGCCTTGCTGCTGTTGTTGTCCATGTAGCAGGGGAAGGTGAGAGTTCAATGTCAACGGCGAGTTCAACATCGAAGGAGCGAAGCGGCAGCAAAGACTATCGAGTTCTGTTTGTCTAGCCCCGTCTCTTTACTCAGATCGTTTGATATCTTCTTCCTTCTTGTTGATTAGTTTGTCTGCATCCTCCAGCTTGGTTCGGTTGGGAACGAACCGGTTTGAGCTGGAGGCGCGGTTCATCGAGGTTTCCTTGCGATTCACCGCGACGGTTCTGAATCGAGAACCCCCCCCCCCCCGGCGTATCTGTAATATGTAGATATACATATATGACATGACCTCACATGTAAGTAATAGTCGTTGTACTTAGTAATGCGAAAAGTGTATATGTATATACCAAGAACATCTAAAAAGCCCTAAAGCCTCTAACTTTCTCCCGAAAGCCACCCTAGCCACGGCAGGGACTCGGCCCTTCAGAAGGAGGTGGAGCGGCTCCTGAAGGCTTCTTAGGGTCACAGGGTTTAAGGTTTAGGGTTTAGGGTTTGAAGGAAAGTCTGGGTTTGAGACTTTGGGCGCCTGATTTGGGGGGTTTGTGGTTGTGGAAGCGGAGTGGGTAGGATTTGGGAACGTTCGCCTTAGGGTAACGAGGCTTGAGGGATTTAGGGTCGAGGGGTTGGATGGCTGTTGTGGCTTGGGCTTCCGAGTATCCTAAACCTGAAGCCCTAATCGGACACAGGGTATGGTGTTCCCGTTTTTTCAGGCTTTGAGTTATGTGCGAACTCCGGGTGCGCAGGGCTCCGTTTCTTTTTCTGGCTGAAGGATGTTCCATTGTTGCAGGTTGCTTAAGATCTAGCTTTCGGGGACTGTTGCTGACATCGACAAACTCTGCAGTGCAGCTTGCCTTTGCCGGCTTTCCAGACCTGTCTTTCCTGAACTGACTGCCAAGGCCCCTAAACCCTAAACTACTCAACCCTAAACCACCTAAACCCTAAACCTTAAACCCTAACCAGTAGCCCCTGACCTGCTTACCCTACTCCTCAAAGTAAGAAGGCCCTGAACTACCCCAAAACCTACTAAACTCCTCTTCCTATCTGGTCGAATGAGGCGAACTTGGAGCTACAAAGTCAGGTCGCGGCGAAGAAGGCAGCTCAGGGGGTCTTTGGACTAGGGACCTGAAGTAGAATGTCGTTTTTTGTCTTCAACCGCCGAGGAGGGGGGAGGGTGAGCTCATGCTGAATTTTCTTAATAGAGGGACGGTTGGGGAAGTCTGACCTCTACATTACCAGCTTTCGGAACGCCAGGTGAAGGGAGCTACGGTTACGGTCTGGGAAAACATCAGTGTACTTCATGGTTCTTGGGGCTTTGCCAAGTGGCTTCTGCAGCCAGTCTTTGTTGAGAGTGTGGCGCGTGTTCCCAGTAATTTAGCATGCCGGTGTTAAAGAAGTGGGAGCAGTGATGCTACCCGTGCCCGTGCTCGTGCTGGTCACTCTTTACACGTTAGGATGGGAATGAACACATGCCGCATGAAACCTACAAGCATAATTACCTCGAGAGGCTTTAGCTCAGGAGTTGTGTCTGTCCGATGACAGAGCTGCACACATCTGAGATATTCCGAAGTCGCAATGGGGGAGCGCGCGCACCCACTGCAGAAACCAACAACAGTGTATGCGTGTGTTACGTGTTTTGTGGAGAGAGAAAGACAGAGAAAGAGAAAGCGAGCTAGCCAGAGTGTTCCCGAGGGAGGCTTTAGTCCTTTTTGTGCGATTTTTGCCTCACATGCGCGCGGTGGGGAGGCAACTCCGCACCAGAGCCCTGGCGAAAGAAGAGCTGGCCAGGGTCAAGCGACGAACAGGGTCACAACGACAGAATGGCTTTTCTTCAAAGAAACACTGCCCAACATTCGCATTGCACCCAGAAGCTTGCAACAACCTTGCAGCGCGAAGGATCTGGCGACTGATGCTTTCAGAGGTCGGATGAATCAGGGAACGAGGAAATGTCAGCTGCATGTCCGGGCTTGCATATTGCTTTCAATCAGCGCAGTAGGTTAGGAGAAGCAGTATCACTCTCAGTACAAGTACAAGTACAAGCTACAGGTAGTAGCCTTACTGTAGCACTAGTAGCTTTAGCAGCACCGATGGTCCAGCTAGTGGTAGTAGTAGTGGTAGTAGTAGTAGTAGTAGTAGTAGTAGAAGTAGTAGTAGTAGTAGTAGTAGTAGGAGTAGGAGTAGGTGTTGTTGCTGTTTTCGCAGACGTTGGCTTTTTCGGCATCACAGTTTCGAACTGTCAGAACAAGCTACTAGGAAGAGCAAAACCCTCCCCGGCAGAGGTTTGGGCTTTAGGGGTTTGGTGAAACCCCCACGAGAAGCTGGCAGCTTGGTGTTCAAGTCTTTCGAGGTTTTCGGCTTCAATGCTCAGGGTCGTTAACACCTTCTTGGCAGCACCTCCGACTTACACGGTACCTATGAGATTTTCGTGTTAACCTGCCACCGTTGGTTTAACAGTATCTTCCCTTCTGCCACATCGAGTTTGCAACTTCAGGCACTTTCACAAGGTTGTGGAGCCTTTGGTACTTCGCCACTGGCAGCTAGTTAGGGGAACTGGTCAGCGTCCGAGTAGGAGTAGAGGTAGATGAAGATGTACTAGTAGTAGTAGTAGTAGTA